CAATCCCTAAAAAAAACAAATGCCAAATGTCTTCTTTGATATAAGGAGAGCAACTAAGAACAGAGCAGGGAGGAAGAGCATGAGGAAAAGATTAACATTAAACAGAGACGAGAGGTGGGAGGGAAAGGGAGAGAGAAGGGAAATTGCATGGAAATGGAAGGAGACCCTCATTGTTATACAAAATTACATATAAGAGGTTGTGAGGGGAAAGGGGGAAAAAAAACAAGGGAGAGAATTGAATTACAGCAGATGGGGTAGAGAGAGAAGATGGGAAGGGAGGGGAGGGGGGATAATAGGGGATAGGAAAGGTAGCAGAATACAACAGTCACTAATATGGCATTATGTAAAAATGTGGATGTGTAAGCGATGTGATTCTGCAATCTGTATTTGGGGTAAAAATGGGAGTTCATAACTCACTTGAATCAAATGTATGAAAGATGATATGTCAAGAGCTTTGTAATGTTTTGAACAACCAATAAAAATAAATAAATAAAAAAGATACTTCAAAAAAAATAGTCTAGTCTGGCTTGTACATGGAAGGCAAGGAGGGGGAAAGAGATCAGTGTGGAGGGGTGATCAGCAAAGATCTCATTCCAAGTATAATGTTGGACCATTGACTTGCTTTAAGAAAGGGAGGAATGGAGTTGGGGGTGTAGCTCAATGGTAGAGTACATGCTTGGTATGTGTGCTATAATCTATAGCACTATAGCACCAGAAAAAAAAAAAAAAGAAAAGAAAGAAAGGAGAAAAACAAGGTTGTTTTGTTATGCTATTATGGAAAGATTGATTTTGGTAGAAAAAGCAATTAAAGACCCGCAACACTGAAAGCAGAGGAGTTAATAAAGGCCATTGTCAAGTAGCTTCAATTAGTGAGTTGATGCAGCAGCAGGTTTAAACCAGCAGAGTTGTAGTGGGGATGAAAGACTATGTATATGGGCTGGGATTGTGGCTCAGTGGTAGAGCACTCGCCTTGCATGATGGGACCCGGGTTCGATCCTCAGCACCACATTAAAAATAAATAAATAAATAAAGGCATTGTATTGTGTCCATCTACACCTAAAAAATAAATATGAAAAAGAAAGACTTGTATAAAACACTGCTTCTCAAAATCTAATATGCATATGAATCACCAGGGGAGCTTGTTAAAATGCAGATCCTGATTCATGAAGTTTGAGGTGGGACCACAGATGCTGCAATTCTAACAAACTTCTAGATAATGCTGATGCTGTTGGTATAGAGATCACACTTTGAGTAGCAAAGATTTCTGTATTAATGAAATAGAATTTACAGGAATTTGTGATCAGTTAGGTGAGGGGGCTCAGAAATGCATTGGCAAACAAGTGTTCTACCACTGAGATATACCTCCAGCTTAAAATGTATTATTAGAAAATTAGAGCCAAATTTCCAGCTTGTATCTGGGTGAAGCTTATGCTATCCACAGATACAAGATGTGGAACAGGTTTGGGTGGGGTAGATAATAAGAGATAACATTTATTGGGTACACAACATAATATGCGCCAGGCTCTTCATGTATGTTGTTTTATTCACTCTGCACACCACATTTATAAGGTAGGTATTACTGTAATCCCCTTCTTAAGTCTAGGGAAACCGAGGCCAAGGTCACATAGGTGGTAAGTCAATCAGCTGAGATTCAAACCCTCCAGAAATCTAAGCACAGAACTCATGAAATTAACCATTGGCAGTTTTGGTATGTGGAGTTCATGCACCTGTGGGATGTTACATGGAGCTGTCCAATCTAAGATGCTATGCTAATCTAGAGCTCAAGACAGATTCTGAGCAACAGTTAAAGATATAGGAGGAATTAAGGCATTAGAGTAAGGCATTAGATAATCCAAGGAGGGTCACAACCTACTGCTTCAGAATGCTGTCAGTCTTGTTTCATTTTCCTTTTGCACATATTTACTACAAAGATGGAATCTGACAGTATATTTTTCAGCATTTTAAATAAACTTTTTCCCTGTTTGGATTTTGTGCTTTTTTTCCCCTCTGGTTCTGGCGGACAGGATCTTGCTAAATTGCTGAGGCTGGCCTTGAACTTGAGGTCTTCCTGCCTCAGCCTCATGAGTTGCTAGAATTACAGTCATGCACCACCACCCATTATTGTTTGCTCTTTATGCCTAACACTTACCAATTTACCAGTTTGTACAGGGTTTTTTGTTTGATATTGAGAATTGAACCCAGGGATGCTCTACCACCGAGTTATATCCCCAACTTTTTATTTATTTTTTTAAGAGAGAGAGAGAGAAAGAGAAATATTTATTTTTTAGTTTTCGGCGGACACAACATCTTTGTTTGTATGTGGTGCTGAGGATCGAACCCATGCCAGGCGAGCGTTCTACCGCTTGAGCCACATCCCCAGCCCCAGCCTTTCAATTTTAAGACAAGGTCTAGTATGCCCAGGCTGGCCTCAAACTTGAGATCCTCCTGCCTTAGCTTCCTGGCACTAGGATTATAGGTATGATCATGGTGCCCCAGATTGTGTCTTCAAGTTGGTTTTTGCTTATTAATTTTTCTGGATCCTAGTGAACACACTCAATTTTCCAAGATCCTAGTTAACCATTCAATTTTCCACTTTCATTTCAGATCTTTTCACACCTAAGTCTTCTTCCATTATAATTTTGATTACTTCTTGCAATTGGTTTGCTGTTTTCCTTTGAGGGACACCTATAATTTGAATTCCTATGATGATCTTCATCTTCATCATCTTCTCTCTTTAAGAATTCCATCACTTTGTTCTATACTCTGGAAGTTTTTCTCATGTACATCTTCTACATTGCTGAGTTACTTTTGAAAGGAAAGTGACCACAACACTCGGAGCGACCAAGAGATCTTTATTGCAGCAGTGAAAAAGAGGAAAAAAGAGAGAGAGAGAGAGAGAGAGAGAGAGAGAGAGAGAGAGAGAGAAGGAGGGAGGGAGGGGGAGAGAGAGAGAGAGACAGAGAGAGAGAACAAGAGAGAGAGCAAGAGCAAGAGAGAGGGGCCCGGCAGGAGGGAGTTTTTATAGCCCAAATCTAATGGGGTCTCTGGGTCTGCAAGCTCCCTTGTTGGCACAAGGTGGGGGTTAAGTGTTCAGCCTTGAGCGGAGGGGTTGAGTGTTCAGCTTTGGGGGGGGGGGGGGGAAGCGCTCAGCCTTGAGGGGGGGGGGCTTGGGCTTTTGGGTGTGAAGCAAACAGTTGATAAAGAACCAGACAGAGGGTTTGAGTGGCCAGATCATCCTGCAGCTAACTTTGTTTGGCATGCCCTGCAGACAACTTATTCAGCCTGTCCTGCACCTAACAACTTTTCTGTATCATTAAGTCTACTTTTTACTGCTTCAACTTTTGCTTTTACTTTATTGAGGTTTTAATTTCATTGTATTCTCCATTTATTTTGGCCTTTAAAAAATACATAATGTCCTCTTTTAATAAAGAATAAGAATCAGGTGTTTTCTAAAATTAGGTTCTGCCTCATGGGATACACACACACACACACCACCACACATTTTTTGTACCAGGATTGAACCCTGGGGCTAAGTGCTTAACCACTAGATCACATCCCCAGCCCTTTTTATTTTTTATCTTAAGGTCTTGCTAAGTTGCTGAGGCTGGCATTTTTGCAGTCCTGCCTCACCTGGTTGGGATTACAGTTGTGCAACACTGCACCTTGCTAAATGTATTTTGAAGGAGTTAATTTTTGGCTCTAGTGCTTTATTTGTTTTCTCATGTGACACATTCCCCCCACCAACACACACAGGGTTGTTGTTTTTTTGGTGTTGGACACTGAACCCAGGACCTCTCACATGCTGAACATGCACTCTCCCATTGAGATACACTCCCAGCCCCTCACACAGGGTTTTTCAAGGACTTGTTTATTCTCCTTTGCAACTGACTAGTTTATCTTTGTTAATATCTGAAAGTTCACAGTTGATGGCTACGAAGACCTCCCAGTTGGCCAAACAGGATTAGGGGTCTGCCACTCCTACTTTACCCTCCAGAGATAGCAGAAATGGTGCAGAGGCTCCACGCCCAGTTTTTTTCTAAATCTTGATGTTTCAGTTTTAGCGACTTTTGTGTTTATATTTCATTATGTCTAAGTTTCTGCTCTTCTGTTCTAATCTGGGTCTCAGTCAGTGATGTCTTTCTAAAATGTCTCAACTCACTACCCACTAACTCCTTACTCTTGTTTTATATATCTTCATACTTAACAGCTTGAGTATTTTATTTATGTGTCTCCCCTCTCTAGAGGGTAATAATTTTTTTTGTAGTTTTAGATGGACAGCATGACTTTATTTATTTTTATGAGATGCTAAGGTTCGAACCCAGTGCCTCACACGTTAGGCAAGCCTTTGCCACTGAGCTACAACCCCAGCTCCTCTAGGCGGTAACTTCTAAAGGATGTATCCCTAAAAATATGGTAGACTCTTGACAAATATCTGAACAAACCTCTGGTTATTGGGTCTACTTAGTCGCTCATTTTGGTCCCTATATTTGTGTCTCACACTTCCTCGGTATGCAAATGTCTTTCTGCCTCGGTCATGCCTTCCGGTTTCTTTCCATATCCAAAGGTCTAAGTTTACCGCTGTGTGAGACTAGGATTCGCACAGGCCGGTAGCGGGGGTGCCAGTGATTGGGGTGTCGGGCGTCCTGGCGTCTCACGTGCTGTCCCAAGTTCCTCTGGCTGTGTCATAACTTCATTCCGGGTTCGCACTGCCCCGTGTCTCTCATGGTGGGTTCTGTCTCGACGCATCCGTTTCCTTCAGAGGCTCGACTGCGAATGCATGTGACCGCGCTGGACGACGCCTCCGCCTCCTCCGCCTCCTTTGCTGCGCTGCCGCCGCCGCAGCCGCCGCTCCCGCCGCCGCCGCCGCAGTGTTCCGCCCTGTGCTCGCCGCTTCCGCCGGTCTGCTAAGCCCCGCCCTCGCTCGTCATGAGCCAATCCTCGAGTACGTCGCTTGTCCCCGCCCCGGCGCCCTCCTCGGCGCGCGCCCCTCCCTCCGCCCGCCGGCCCGCCCGTCAGTCAGGCAGGCAGTCTGTCCGAGCGGTCGTAACCCCTCCAGTTCTCTTGGGCATTGCCGTCCTTCTTTCTTCCTGGTCAGCAACAGCGGCTGCACCAGAAGCATCGCAGTTCCTTCGGGAGGCGCGGCAGGGACTGAGTGGCGACAGCGGAGCGTCGAGCCTAGCGCAGCTGAGGCGGCGGCGGCGGCCGGGCAGCCAACATGGCGGCGGCGGCGGCGGCGGGCGCGGGCCCGGAGATGGTCCGCGGGCAGGTGTTCGACGTGGGGCCGCGCTACACCAACCTCTCGTACATCGGCGAGGGCGCCTACGGCATGGTGTGGTGAGTGGCCGCGCCCGCCCGCAGCCCCGACCGCGCCGGGACACACCACTGCCTGGGGCTCCAGCGGACGCAGCCGCGGCCTCACCCGCGCTTTGGCCTCCCGCGCCGCGACCCCAACCATAGGCTTCTTGGTCCACGCGACGGGGTTTTAGCGCGGGGTCCCCGGGGGGTGATAGATATTTAGGTGTTGTTAAGGGCGTTTCCAGGGCTGCTCTCTCGCGGTTGGGAGGGGCTCAGCGGGTGGAGGTTAGGAGACCCACGTACTCGGTCGCAAGCGCGGACTTTCAAGCCTGGACCCCCAGGAAGGGAACCTCGGCACCTCTTGTCCCTTGATTGTCTAATATCACGGCCTCCTTTTTGAAGTTCAGTTGTAAACCCTGGGATGCCATCAGATGCTCGTCGATGGTGGCGGCGGTGTTCTTGAAAGCCTTTTCGCCTCAGCCTATGTGCAGAATACCGAAATACTATTTTTATTCCTTCCATCTCTGTTTACCGTGAACAGCTTTCATTAAGTACCTCCAGTGATGCTAATGGTGCTTTTCTGCGCACGCTTTCTAAAAAGCATTAGTGACACCAGTATTGGTTGCGAAATATTTCAACCTTGAAGTCTTTAAGTGGGTTTTAATATTGTGCTGTTTGCGTTTCAGGAAGGACAAGCCAGCATCACTCTCTTAACTTATTAAAAATCTGTTTGAGTTGGGCCTAATTGGACTCCCCTCTCCTTACTCTAAGTGAGCTCTTTTAACAGCATAAATGCATCCAGACATTTTAGCTTAATTATGGTAGACTTTTCCTATTAATGTTTGGTTTGGGGTTTTTTTGTTGTTGTTATTGTTTTTTGTGCTGAGGATTGATTCTTTTGGTGCTTTGTGCATGCGAGGCAAGCACTCTACCTCTTAATATTTTTAGTGGTCAGTATATAAAGTCTAAATGGTATTCTTATCACATTCAGGCTGTCTCATCTTGATCCAGATCTCTCTAGAAACGATATTGTTTTTATTATAATGACCTAATTGTAGTGTTTTATGTTGATGAAGACTTGTGGAAGTAGATTCTCTTACACCTAAATCTTGGGTCTCTTGTATTAAACCAATTTATTGAATGCATCGTGGCAGGTACTGTGCTACCTCCATTATTTAATTGATTTTATCTGGCTAGCACCTTGTGGAAGGAAGACAGTGACAATATTCCTCTTTCAGGTAAGGAAGTATTTATAGGTGAAGCCATTCCCAAGGTCACAGACCTAAAGTCAGGTTTAAATTTATATACTGATATCCTACTTCAAATGCTGCAGCTTTTTTTCTACACCCAGCTTTCCTTAAATAGTATTAATAATAATTCAGAAGTTTAGCATATTTTACTGTTATGAACAAGTCTTTTTTAGAAATGCATTCAAATTTGAATGATCATAATTTTAGAAATGCCAAAGAGGGTATGTTCTTCCAAATGTCTTAACTAAATAGACAACATTTTTTAAAAAAATACTATGAATATTTTCATTTTCTTTAGGAGCAAAATGCTTCACAGTGTACCACTATGAAAATTAACTTGAACTCACAGGCTTAGGAGCCAAAAGAGATAGTAAATTAGGTCAGGCCATAGAGAAATAGGTTCTGAAACTAGTGGAGAGAAAGTACTGCCCAAAGCATCACTTCTGTCTCATATCTTATTGTTCTTGCACCTGCTGGTAAGTATTGCTAGTAAATATATCATTAATAGAGGCTCGCAGTTGCATCCTTTGGTCTCTTTCTAAAAATGAAATTTTTGAAATATGGTCTGAAAAATTTGTAGAAGATGTCAATTTAAAGTTTTACCCTCACACCATCTGATAAGATACTTAAAAGTCTGAAGATTATTTAGATCTGGGAACTCTTTCACCCACTACTGTCAATTTATTTGACCCAAGTCTCCAGTTGAAATGCCAAGTCCTCTTACTGTAATTTTTCTTTTCCTAAGTAAAATACAGATATAATTGGAATTTGAATCCTGGGTCCAGATGATAGCCTTTATCTTCAGGTTGAAAATACACCTTAGTATTAATTGAATCATCTGCATTGCACATTAGCTTTTGATCAATGTTGATTAACAAGTTCTGGGTTTTTAGAGAGCTTCTTGGCTGAAATGTTAATATTTGAATAATAATCTCTTAAAAACTTAATACTTCAGAAGGATTTAAGGCTGTTTTTAAGCAATTTAAAAAATTTTTTTCTGAATCAGTTCATTAGAAATTGTGGTAGTTTTATTCAGGTTTCTTTCCTAATCACTATGTGGATGTTATAAAAATGAAGAGGGTTTTGAGTTAGGCCTTTGAGAGTGGGTGTGATTTTGATAGGCAGATAATAGGAGCAGGTGACAGCTTGAGCTGTGAAATCTAATCCTGGAAAAGTACTTCAGTGACAAACTGTAAAGGATTTTTTTTTTAAAGATTATCTTTTTTTTAAAAAAAAAATATTTTTTAGTTGTTGATGGACTTTATTGTATTTATTTTTACATGGTGCTGAGGATCGAACCCAGTGCCTCACGCATGCTAGGCGAGCATGCTACCACTGAGCCAGAAGCCCAGCTCCTGTAAAGGATTCTTAATGGCACATCTGAGTTTGACTGTATTTGTGCAGTGGAGAGGCATTGACATTTTTGAAACAGGCAGTCATGGTCAGTTTTGAGATTTGGGGGAAGATGGATCAATACTGGTAAGAATGATAGGAAAAAGAACTGGAATGGAGGCCATTGTAACTATCTAATGGAGTAGTAATCCTGTGGCAGAGGGAATTAAGGGGTCTTGGATAGATGGCATTAGTCACAGGAGTTCTTATGGGAAGAATGGTAGAAAGACTTGTAATCATGGCATGTATGGGTAGAAGGAAAAGAGATGTATAAAGGATAAGAGAACAAGAAAGGTGGGGTTTATATTTTAGAGATTTCTGAGAGAGAATAAGACAATGCCAAGACTGTCTTGGGAACTTGGGAGGATGGGGGTGCCATTATCCAAGAGAAGAGGTAGATTCTGGAGGCAGAGCAGATTTGTCTGGGAGGAGCAGTGAGTTCTGATATAGGCTCAAGATAGTGATACCTACATCCCATTCAGGTTATATAAAGAGTGTCTTGAAATTTTTAACAGGGGAACAGGAACTAGAGATGAAATTTTGTGTATAGCCAATGATAGCTCAAATCTTGAGTGGAGGAGCACAGATTCTTATTTGGGGGTCATTGATTAGGTAAAATTGCAAGCATGTATTCATTTTTTTGGTGTATGACCTGTAACACTCAGTAGATTTTCAGAGGGGTTCATTATCCCAGAAAGGTTCAGAACCCTGAGATAGAAGAGATGGACCAAAGAGTTTACTCCAGCAAACAAATACTAATAGCAGACAAAGGAAGAGGAACTTGAGGACTGGTGAAATGTGTAAGAAAGACTGGTGGGATTAAGAGAGAAGTGGAAGGTGTATGCTTCATTGTCTTGATAACTAAGATAAGAATTTATCTGTTTTAGAGTAGTTGAGTTTGAAATTGTTTCTAAAAGTGACAGAAAGGTTGGGGTCATGTCCATAGAGATGTTAATTGAAGCCTTGTGAGTGGATGAGAAAATACCTGAGAACTGAGCCAAAGAAATGTCTACCTTTAGGTGTCAATAGATGGCAAGTTACAGAAGAGCACAGGAAATATTGTCTGAGAGATCAAAGAACAAAGTCAGTGGTCATTACAGTATTGGTATTGAATACTGTAGAGAGTGAAAATAATGCATCTGAAGACAAGCTATTTATATTTGTTGATTTTTTTTCCACTCCCCTTTTTGAAAATGTGGCACACATCTGCAGTCTCAGGATGAAGGATTCAAAGTTCAAGGTCAACCTGGGCAATAAAATTAAAAAAGGTTGGGGTTTTAGCTAAAGTGGTAAAGTGCTTACCTAGCACACAAGAGGCCCTGGGTTCAGTGCCCAGTACTTCAGAAATGAAAGGATGGTTTCAACTGAAATTTTATTATGGTCACATTCCTGATGGTATGGTATTCTGTCCTGTTGAGGATTTTATAATTATATCAGTCTAGGGGCTGGGGTTGTGGCTCAGTGGTAGAGCACTCGCCTGGTGTGTGCAAGGCTCTGGGTTCAATCCTCAGCACCACATAAAAATAAATAAATAAATAAAATAAAGGCATTGTGTACAACTAAAAGAAATAAATATTAAAAAAAATAAATTAAAAAATAATAATTATTATATCTGTCTAGAACTACTGTACCATTTATTCTATAGTTCTGTTTTGTTTTTAAACATGTATTGTCTAATCTTCAACCACCCTGCAAAGGTGGTTACTCTTTTTCTTTTTTTTTAGTCAGTAAGGAAACTTTAGTTAATTTGACCAAGATGCACAGCTAGGAAGTAACAGGAAAACCCATTCTGCCTGGTTCCTAAGAAAGATTACAATGGAAGAATGAGGGTGTAGTTCAGTGTAGAGCACTTGTCTACCATGTGTAAGGCCCTCAGTTTGGTCTTGGTATCACCCCCCCCCCCAAAAAAAAATGAAAAAGTATGTTTTCAACAACAGAAAATGTCTTTTGCCTATTTTTCAACCAATCATGGAAATCCAGATGTGGTGGCACACACTCGTGATCCCAGCTACTCAAGAGGTTGAGGCAGAAGGATGGCAGGTTCAAGGCCAATCTGTACAACTTGGCAAGACCCTTTCTCAAATTAAAAAAATTTTCATGCAAGGTCATTTACTCTAAATATTTAATGTGCCAGGATTCACACATGATCTATGCACTTGACTGACTTAATCCAAATAGTGGGATGAGGTTGGCCAGTAATACAAACACTATACCACCAGTATATGGGAGAAATGTATGAAATGCTGGGAGAAAAAGAAGGCCTGAGTGATATGGGAGTAGGCTATTTTTTTAATGGTCTTACACACTTTTGAGCTTGGTGTTGCTGTATGAATAGATGTTTGCCTTCAAAAGTACTTTTCAGGCAAAGGGAAATACACATGGAAAGACACAGAAGGC